GAGGATTGGGTTGAAGTTAATATAATTCAATAATTTATTTTCTGTGTAACAGTGCACACGTGCTGCAAAGGGATAAACTGTATCTTACCTGCCAGGTACCTGCCAACTATCACTGAAAACCACAGAGTCAAACGTCCTTTGTCCGTCTGGCGTTACAAAATCGTTCTTCGGGTTGTCGTCAGCATTACCTAGCAGACCACAAACACGTCCATGCAGGTACTCATCGTTTAATGTGATAGACATCCCATGCCCCCGTCTTTTCCAATTGAGAGTGAATCCAAGTTCGTTCAGATATACTGTGATTACACCGTTTTCCTTTCTTACTTTGCCGATGTAATCGTCAATCACCGTCAATGAGTCAGTCATCGGTTTTCCGCTGATCTATACAAAGACAAACGGCAACTATTGTTGAATATTAATATGAGCGCCTTACTTCAACATTACAATTTCAAGTAACATTATAATAGCAGGAGTATTGAACTGGGTTTCCTTCATTCGCATGTGCTTTCCACCATACCTTATCTCGACTCAAAATAAATGAACATTATTAAAATAAATAAAAGTTGACATGCTATTTAGCCGACTAATATACTACATATATGGTTACACTAATTTAATTCTAAATCGATGAAAATATACAACTTTGCTTTTATTCAATGTTTCGGATTGTTTCAAGTATGATACAAAGACCATTGCAGTCGCTCGCAATAGGTAGACTGTTGATATATCGATTGGTTGGTTTTATACAATTATTCGCCTGTAACGGGAATCTCGTGCATAGAGCTATCGGCGGCGATCAAATATCTAGTCGATATAACGAGCAAATTATATCATATTTTCCAACCCCTGTTCCTGATTGAAGTCATTTTTTGACGACGTGTCTTCAAAATATAGTTGAACAATTATAGTCCATATATATTAAGGATTATTTTACCTACTAATTTGCACATTTTTGCGGTCAATACCAATATTTTGGGGGAGATTTTAACTACGAATACCGCAGTATATATGCAATAATTTATTATCTGTCACCGTAATGCCATAAGTTACAGCGTGGCGTAATTTTGCGGTATTTTACGGGGAATTTTTATCCTATCACATTAGGAAGTGGAGAAAATTCAAATATGGAATGGTTACGCGCGTAAGCGTCCTCTAATAATAAAAAAACATGGCTGCCATACAAAGACCGGACTCCATACAAAGAAGTTCGCTGATTCTGCTTTAAACTTTTTAGATTTCGGCATTCCCATGATGTATCCTTGGTTGGAAAAGATGTATAACAATACGGTTATTACGAAGATACCTCAAAGTATGCACGCAGACAGTACGCTGTCGCGTCAACATCCGCTGCGCGTCGGTCGATGCCGTCACTGTACTGTCTTCGTACATACTTTGAGGTATCTTCGTATTAACATTATACTATAGATATTTGCATCAATGCAGATTATTTAGAAGAATCAATGTCCAACTTACTAATACGGAATCGTCCTCGTTAATTCGGATCAGTTGCTTTCCATTTGATGTGACGTTAAATGCAACCATGAATGTTGGAGGTTCGTACGGATAGTTCTTTCCTCTGAAATCGGCCGTGACTTCAAAGTCTGGGTAAACGGTGTCATCGCAACTTTTGACCAAAGTGTAAGAACAATAACCATTGGAATTGAACTTGTAACCGTCGAACGTCGTCATATGTGGCTCATACTGTCCATTACCACCTGGTGTAAAAATCAGTGAGTGGACGCCAGACACGTTAAGGTAGAATCCTACTCATAATTTAAAATACCAAGAATTTATTCATTTTCCAATAAATTGTACTCCAAGGCAATATAAAGATATTGACTTAAAAAAAGTTGGGATCACCAGCCGTATTTTTGAGAAATTGGTGGTTGTATTTTAGTGGAGAGTCACCATTTTGGCACTATTATTTTAACATATGTTCCTATGGCAGAGATATTGTGCAATATCTCAAAATCTAGCCTAGTGACATAGGCTGAAACAAATATATATTGTTAATCATGGAGTACTTTTTGTTTTGTGTTTTTAAAACAGTGTCAAAAAATTTGTTTTTTTAACATTGTGTTCTATGGGATTGTTCAAAAAATAGAGATTTAAAAGAAATATTAGGACACGTTTCTCAGTAACACACAAAATAATGCTATTTCATTGTACCATAGGACATTAGCTTCATGATTGTACATAATAAACTAATGAACATTGCCATGCGATTTATGACCAATTTTGTCAACAATTATGACTAGGCTTCTACCCCAGTTAAGTCGGAGGACACTTTAAAGGTGATTCGACCGCGAGACTACGTCATAATTTATGCAGATATAATTGTTAACACTTGCATTTGATTGGCTCTTGTTTTACATCGGAATTTCCAAAAGATTCGTGACAGCCACGTGACCCAGTTTATGAATTCCATGTTTTTTGCCACCGTAGTATCCGAGCGAAATGTTGAAAATGATATAACCTTCTTTTTATGGGAACCAACGGTAAATAACTTTTTCCAATCGTCGTAACGTATTTGACATGTCGTCAAGTGACCACACGTTTTTATCTAGATCGTGTGCGCAACAAAACGCCATATTGTAAAAGTCTGGCAATAGTTTGTATTGGTAGCCACGTTATTAATATGCACAAATACAACAAACCCACCCAATCTAAAAACAAAACAAAACAGTAGTCAATCTAATAGACCATTTTCCGTTCACTGCGAGAATCACGCGTTATGCGTGAAATCGAACGTAAAAACAGGACTAAGAAAGGTCATAGCGTCGTAGTGGCGTCAAACATCGCGTGGGATTCGACAAACGCGAAAGTATTTCGGGGACATTTCCATGCTTAATAATGTGCTGTCCACATTTGATGATAGGCAATTTCGATTAAGTGAGAGTATTCGAAAGCAATATTCCTCTGTCGAAGATCGGCCGGTCGATGAGAGCTACGAAATAAAGAAATTCGAGTTCGAAATCAAATCGTTCGATTTTTGCGGCAGACGTTCGACGCGCGTCTTTCATACAACTCGCGAGATCTCGCAGTTGAACGGAAAATTACGTAGTATGTATAATAATGAAACAGAATATATTAACATAATGCGTACTCACATTTTGGAAGCGGCACCCGAAAACCACGACCAGTAACTTTGTTTTCCACGCTGTTATCCAACGTCTCGGGCACTGTATAAACCACAGTTGTTCCGTAATCTTGGATTTCAGTTGCCACCTTTTGGCCCGAAGTTACATCGACGATATGAAATTTGACGGAACCAGTTGAAGTTGGACCGATTGTAACTTCTAAGAAATTGGCAGCACAGTCCATCCAGGTGAACGTGAAATCTGGATCTGTTGGAATAAAATAATCAACTCTTAGTTATGGAGCGCTTTCGAGACGTCAAATGACGTTGCAGTATATAAGTGAAAGCAGTATCGTTTAAATCGAAAAATGCGTTTGGTTATGTAAGTAAAAAATAGTAAAATTTCTAAATAAGTTAAAATCCATTGATGGACGACTCAAACCAAAATGAAATAGAGATTTTGAACGGCCTTCTCGATATCTATCTACGCCATGGAGCAGATTCAACGCCATTTGTAATGACAGTATTGGAAATACCGACTACTCTAAATATACCAGTCTTTCATCTCAAAAACAGTTGGTTTTCGGTAAAATTGGCACCCACAATCATCCGATTTCAAGGTTTAGTAATTCTCGTAATATAATAAATAAAACTGTATGTAATACAAAAACATGGCATCTCTTGCAAGAAATTGTTTTTATATTAGAGCCGTGGCGTATTACGTTCGTAGATGTCTGTGGGACCCACCGATTTGATACAAAAACCTAATTCCCGATTCCCGAATAGATAGCGCATGCGCATATTGCGTCACCTGAGGTCTACAAATCGGAAGGAAAGACATATTTTGAATGTTTCTAACGCGCAGAGTTGCCGTACATCGCTCGTCCCTTTTTTCTAATTCGCGGCGTATATAACCTCTACGAATAATAGTGCCATCATCTTTCAACTAACTCGTATCAACCTTTGAAAATGTGCGAAGCATTCTGCCTAAACAAGAAAAACTAATATGCAAATTAGTTTTTGCTATAGCGTGATTTTCTTTATTTTTGGGGAGCTGAAACCTATACCATGAAACACCCACACACCACGCAGTCACATTTTCAGTTCATTTTCTCTGCAAAAATCTTCTTTTTCAGATACACTTTTCCCAACAAGATAATGAACGGGTACCAACACAAAATACAATTGACATTCAAATGTATTTTAAAGGGCGGTGGTCGTCGCGCCGCGTCCTGTTCGATATGGGACTCCTAGCGACGTATACAACGCGTGTAAAATGCATTGTTTGACCATCGCCCTTTAAAGACGAAACGTGGCACGAAACAACATATTTTATAACGTTGTGAATTTGCGGTTTTGTCTTAACAGACGTAGCGTACACTGCGATATACCTGTACACACAAAGCACTCAAATGACATCCCAAGTTGTACATATAAACTTTGCGGTAAGGGTATAAGGGTATCACTAGAAAGAAAATCAGAATCGTCATATAAGGCATAGTACATAATAAAAGAAAAACTGTTATATTATAAAAATAATAAATTAAGATAATGAATAATATTACCTGCGGCATACCCCAAACCGACAATGCAGAAAATGGTTATCAAAGTACCGGCATGCATCATTCTTCAACACTTCTTGGTTTCAGATGTGGTAATGACAAAATCGGTTCGGCTCAGTCAATAATAAACAATTGGGCGGTACCATTCTTGACGCGGGGACACAAGTAAATTGTAGTCTCGAGATTTGAGGGATTTTTAACGTTGGTCTTCAAAATACAGGCGTATTTCTCGTGAAAATTCCATAATAACTGAGCAAAGATTGGAATGCAAGCAGGAAAATGATTATAATATCTGACACATAATATGTTATTGCTTTATCTGCCATTATAGTATGAGCTGATTTTGGGGTTTGGTGACTGACCTATAGTTTGACCTCTGTCAGCTGCCACTCATTTACTGTGAATATGATGCTAATTTGCATACATAATTCTAATCGATATTCAGTTCTAGAATTTTCTAATGAGGTTGGTCAATAACAATATCCCGATACTCTTATAGTTTCTGCTGTTCAATGTATTCGAGGGACAGACAACTAAAGTGTCATTTGGAATGTATTACCTTGGAATAATAAAGAACATGAAATAGACAACTAGATATGTGCATTCATAATACTGTCCCATTTCTAACAAACTGACACACAAGTTTATTTAGTCACTGTGAATCCGCGCTCATTACACGCTTATTATTCAGAGTCAGCTTATTGGCGTACAGTCAGCCTGCGTGTGGCTTAGTAAGGTGCGCATCTGGTAATCCGCGTTGTCGTGGTCGTGATCACGTATCCCGTGTGTTGTATGCGGGCAAATTGTATATTTACCTTTCCACCACCAGTACCCTCTTTTCATCACACATTCACAAAATAGTCCTGTTTATACCCTGTACTTTGGACAAAATTAGCCATTTTTTGAGGAAAAACTGAAAAATGACTAAAATCAAATCTATTGGCTTCAAAATTAGGGTTCATTTCCAAAATATTGAAAAATATTAGAAAAAAATTGCAGACAAATTTGAGCGAGAAAGTCCGGTGGTGGAAAGGTTAAAATGGGTCAGCCGCCAATCCTTAAAGTAACTGTACCCCATTATGGAAAACACTCCTGAATTTTATCAGAATCTGTTGAATAAAGTACCCCGTGAATTGTAAAAACTTCAATTAATTCTTTAATATGACGCTCCCAGACGTTAGTGAGTGGGTTTCCTGTCATGAGGGGATTATTAGCGAATTGCTGTGTTATGTCTGTCATCGTTTAGGCATATTTGAAGTTTTGGACGGAACTTGGCTCAGTGATTTGGAACTAATTACGAGATAACCGTCGCTATTCAGACTACTCATTCTGACAGTTGGTATTCATAGTTATTAATGTAGTGAACGATTAATCAAAGATATGACGTATTCAGTACTTAGTGTGATTGGCCTTATGATTGAAGGTTACGCCCTAGAGTCTTTTTACTGCTTTGTAATTGATTAGAGTTTTGAAAATGAATAAAGTTGTTTTAGTTGGTCTTGGGGAGTACAGCAGAACAGACGGAGTCCTGGAGAGCCTTGGGTCGAGTGTTGACGCAGTCTAAGAGAGTCTTGGGTCAGCCTTGCGATAGTCTTGGGGATTTTTCCCCAGGGCGCTGTGTCTGATAGAGTGCTCGATTGACCGACTAAGACGAGAGCTGAAACGTATTTCGTTGTGTGTGTCTTATTTGACTGTAAAGTATAAGTGACTTTCCCGATCCCATACCTCAAGGGGACGAGATATAGAGACGAGACGAGATTCCCCCCTGACAAGTGTGGAGACCCCCGTGGAGAAGAATTCCCCCCTGATATTCCACAGAACATTGATCTCTGACCGTGGATATTTTACTACACGTATAGCAATAGCAATGTAGAGATACAACTCGTGATACAATATCTGCTCTAAATATCAATTACCACCCAAATGTCAATGTTCCGGTGCAAAATGCGTACAACATTATGCAAATGATGCCATCTTTACCAATACGAGATTTGTAATTGTTGTTTTTGCCGCATTTTTCAGTTTTCATTGCAATGCAGATTTTATCATCAGGGAATAATACAATATACTAGTAGTTTGTTTAATTGTTCAATACAGTCGCGTGCGCACATGCAACCCGTCTGTCTTTCCGGATGTGTTACAGCAGGTTGGGAGATAACCCGATTACTGAATCAAACTTAATCTGGTAATTATAATCAGCCGCACTTAAATAGAAAGTGAATTGAAGTCTCGCGCAGATGTTGTAATGTGGTCGTGTGCTCTCAAATAAAGTTGTTATTAACGGCAATAAATAAATAACCATCATTACATCATCATACCACCTATACATATTAATCACGTGACTTTTTTTCTTCCCAGGGTACTTCTCGTTCGGCCTATCTACCATAGCACTGGGAGGCAACTTTTGTGAAACTACTGAGGACAAATGTTACTATCAATTAGCAAAATGCAAAACGAAGGTTGCCAAGGTCTCGTTGAGAACGAGAGATGCCACGTGACTTGTTTTTCCTCTCATTCAAATAGTATTCTTATCTCTCCCGTCACCGGGTCTACTATTCCTCTGATCTGTGTAACCACAGTAATTGACAAATGAATTGATATCACAATGCTTTTTTTTTCATAGAACTAGGACATTTGTTTTCAAACTAGTTTCATTTAGTTTGCGGCGGAGGGCAAATCAGAAAAAAAAACAGATATCGCACTAGTCATGTGAAAGTATAATTATTTCGTAATTTTTACACGAATTTGTGTTGCTCCCAGTTATGGTCACTGCACAGTCGTGAATCGTTGAATACGCTTAGAATAACTTATCATCATGCATTGCGCATACTGTAAAATGACTAATTTTCACTGGGCTTAAATTTCACTGATTTACCATTTCAGGCATATTCAGTGGGTTTTAAATTCACGGTTTTATCATTTAGATAATGTGTTCTATGCTAAATTTTACAAATTCACTGGGTTTTAATTTAGCGCATTTTCCAGTCAGCGAAATAAGCAAAATTAAAACCCAGTGAATAACCCCTTTACAGAATTAATGGGTTTCGCTTAGGTTTGCAGTGCTAGTGGAACCTATCCATACATTGGCGCTCTCCGGCGATTTTTCTAATTTTTAACCGTCTGTGCACCTTTCAGAATGAGTTGATTAAAACAGTGTTATGATATGACGTACGTACACATTCAAAGATGCATTTATTGCATAGGATCTTATAGTACACTCATTTTTACAAACATTGTCTTCGTACATATAACCTCTGACAGAAATATTTTTGAAAATACATCTATTCTCGGGCGAGCATCCGGGCATTTTCACCGCCTGACAACCATCACGGTGAAAATATTGAGATTCGAAATATGACATTTCCTTCGTTAGAGGGGAGACAAGGGGGGGGGGGTAGCTGGTACGGTTTTACGGGAAATAAAAAGGGCTTTTCACAATTTACGAAGAAAAAAAAGACGTTTTTACAGTTTACAGTGTTAACAAATAGAACATTGAATGGTCCGAAGAGCTCTCCGACTCAAATTCTCCGCCATTGCTGCGCCGTGTGAAGAGACGCATGCGCATATTACCCTCGTAATGCTCTTCATTCGGTTAGAGGGCCTTTTACGTCTTGACATTCAATTTTGTAGTGAATTGTGTCATCTAGTCGTTTTACAGTTTCTAAAATGTAATTTCCCTGGATTATTCTTTACGATTTTTTTATTTGGATGTGAATTTTTGTACGTACGAGAAAAATGACACATTTTTACAGTGTACGAAAATATTTGATTGATTACGTTGTACGTCTAGCCTGTGATTACAGAATTACGGAATTTATTTTTCTGCTATTTACGTTGTACGAACAAAAAAATATTGCAATTACGTTGAACGAAAATAACCCTTGCCCCCCTTCTTCGTTACACAATAGAGAAGGAAATGGATGTTTACACGATTCCTAGAGGGCGCTCCCCGCATACCGCGGTGACTTGTGTATAATTTGACAGAGTTTCGCCAGTCTACGTGTTGCCACGTAGCATTTAACAGCTTTGTGTGCTACCTTCTCTTCATTCAGCTTTATTTCAGAGTTAGCTATCCTCGGGGCGGACATCCGGGCATTTTCACCGCTTAGCAACCCTTGCGGTGAAAAAAAAGGCCAAAAACTCGCAGAAAACGATACTTTGGGATGGTGGTTGAGACTCCCCTGAACAGTATAACACGATTAGCCCTACGTGTGTAACATATCCAAATTTGATTGTTCAGGATTATTTCAAAGTTGAGTTTGTGTTGTTTTCTCGAATTTTCACCGGCTCGACCGGCGTTCCACAGCAGCGCGAAAAGAGCCCATAGAAATGCATGTACAGTGGTGCGCGTCTTAGCAACGTGGAACGGCAGTCCTCGGGCCTAATTGTGTATCCCAGGTATTCAAACGCCGAAATGCAAACTATTTCACGCGAGGGACATTGCCCTATCCCTGTCTGCGGGTTTCTAGTTGATATGAATAATTCATAGTTGATTCTGACGCCACGAAATAAATTATATTAACATAATTATGCAAATTTATTCTAAATGACCCCCTGAATGCGTTGGTTGTTCACGTTAGTATGAACACAGTGAATACAGTCACTCCACCCAAAATAGCAAAGAAAACTATTAAATCGCCTTGAACCAAGGAAACATCGTGCATTGTTTGTGGCAGTCAAATAGAAAATATAGAAAACCGGAAGAGACTGTTTCGCGGGATTAACATAACTACGACATGCGCAGGCATTTTCCTCTAAGAGAATGTAAAAAAAAAAAACGAGTAGAAACTAGTTCTTTTTGACAAGACGAATGTCGACACGGCACGCTGACGAACACATCTCTCCCCTCTGTGTAGTTTGCGATAGTGTCTCGCTGGTATTCTTTGCAAGAAATATCATGGTAGTCTAAACGTTCCAGCACTTTTATAATGCATTCGTCAAGATTAGTTTGTGTCATTATATCAAAAACTGCTGTAGAAAGTGTCGCGATCGCGTATAGTACAGTCAAAACAAACTTCGTGTAAGTCGTGGGCGATCCTAGTAGCCATCCATCCCTGACCCTTTTCATGGTTGGCCGCGATAAAATGATAGACATCTGCGCGACTATTCATTTGCATATGAAAGTACCCGGATCTGGTAAGAAATCTTACCAGTGAATTGCAGAAACGGACAGTCGGTCGTGCCTAACGGTACTCCATATTCCTGTCCTGGCGCTCGCAATTTATTCACGCCTATCACCTTTATACGCAGTATTTATTAATAATATAGCATATTAATATTAGGCACGACCGACTGTCGGCAATCTAAGGTAGCTATTAAGCAAAATATTTTCGAAGTTTAAATAACAACATTGTTTATTGCAGTAAGCATACACGTAGATGT